GGACCTCTTTGCTGCGTAATCGGTGAGTGAACAGCTAACGTACATTGCTTCCACTTAACCATTCGCCTCTCATTACATTAACATGACTTCTCCTGCGATGAAAAGCAGCTGCCTATACCCGCCTAACAACCAGTATGTAAGCGATGCCGTGGTCCGAAATGTGGTGCAACGGACAGTTCCTCAGACCAGCCAACCTTCGAATCAACGGCAAACAGAGTCGACTATACAACCCCCGGTCGAATCATTCACGCGTGAGGTGGCGAGGGGCCACGCTGGTAGAACAAGAGCAGCTAAACTAGCAAGACCAACTCGATGGAGGTCTCATACGACGCTGCACTTACGTTGTACCACAAGCGATACCCGAAGGAAAGACACCACCTCGATGAATAATGAAGCACTTATGACTAGTGACCCAGAACGAGAACGCCATCGCCTAACCAAGAGCGTTACAGAGCGAAGCAGAAGAAGCGCGTGACAGACCTTGAGGACGACGTGGGAGCACTTGCGAGTGAGATCGAAGATCTCAACGTCCAACTTCACTGGGTTTCCAGCGGTATATCTACTAAGCAGACTGTCTGGGGTGTTGCTACCGAGTATTTCCGCCTCTTTCAGTACGGCTTGTCCGGAGGAGCACTATATGAATACGCGATGAGTTTCTTGCAGAAATCAATGTCGCCGGGCGTGGCAGACGGGTTCGAGTACGGGCCGGAAAAAATGCTAGAAAATTTGAGATTGCTATCACTACTCTTCGACGGTTTTAATGTCAGACTGAACGGACTCATGGAACTTGGTACACATTCAGTAAACGCCATCACGACTACAAGAATCACCTTTTCCAAGAGCACGCTGCTAAGGGCATTTCCTCTCTTGGACAGTAATGAGGTTGAGCTGTCCTCACTAGCCACTAAACTTAACGGCAAGACACTTGCCTTGCGCGGCTCGGTGTGCTTTGACTGGGACGATAAGAGTGGGTGTGTAGTTGGTATCTACAGTCAATCAGATTTACTGACGCCTCTGCTTCGCATGCTGGGAAATCTGAACGACGTCGCACGTGTATTTGACGGTGCTTTGGTCACACCGGGGTTTAGAGTAGCTGCGAAAGCCAGGAATAATGCTGCACTTTTGAATGCGGCAAGGTGTTGCTTTCGACCAACTTCGAAGCTGGGATTCGGACATTGACGAAGAAGAGCTGTAACTACACGGCTCCATAACAGAAATACAATCCCGTTGCATTATTATTTTGCTTGGACACACAATAAATAAGATGAAGAACTACTAAGTACTCGTACAGTATCTTCAGCACTTACTAGTTCACGTACTTCAAGTATTTTTTCGTACATGAGCACTTAATCCGACATGCTGCACCCAAGCTTGCTATCACACAGCAGACTGCAAACATTTGGCTTGAATTTCACAGCTCATCATAATACAGCTGGCTAACGATGTCAGATACAGTGTCATGTGATTTTGTATCCCATAACGGGGACCCCAATAAAATCACTAAGTGAGAGAAACACGAATGATGAGAAGTTTGCGAGCGATGTGATCATCGTATGATCATAATCACGTTGTTCGCAAACGCGCAGAGGCTCGTATACCTGCCTTTCCTTCAGACCGACTTTCTAAATAGGAACGCGTCTGGGTCACAGTTTATTAACGTCGGAGATTGACACACTCGAGCGTGCGATGGATATTTGGTCTTTTCACCCGCCCAATTACCAGTCACTCAGCGACAATGTGATAGGCAGAGTGGTGCAGCGTACCCAATGCTCCCGAGACCGTCGGCTTTTCAATATCAAAGTGAAGGACAGAATGGCTTCACCACTTCCCGAACAACGAGGTTCAGCACTGCTATCGTTCGCAGTGATATCAATCCAACGGCGATAAAGTTTTCAAAACCGAGTAGCACCCGCAAGCGTTCGCGGTTCCTCGAAGACACCGACGACCCGGTTGCTACACAAGATACTGAACCCCTGTCTCGTGTTATCCCCGATCACCAACGCAGCATGTCTGTTCGAGAACGCCGTCGTCAAAAACAGATTCGTTATAGAACAAAAAAAACGGACTTTTGATGGAGTGTGAGGAGGATATTCAAAGGCTTCGTGAAGAAATTTCAAGATCTTGAGGTGCGGCGTCACAATTTTTCGTCTACCCGGACAATATGGGACGTTGCCACTGACTCTTTCGTCATGGCTTCGTCCCTAAAGCGCTACGTAGTTACTGTGAGCGCTTTCCTGCAACAATATATGGGATCAAACATGAA